CTGTGTTACTCGAACATTATATACGAGTATATCCTTACATATATCACTATGTGCATATGTGTATAGCAAGGTTGCACGGCTTGATTTGTGAGACATGGACGGTGCTAGAGTAACTATGGTTCGGTTACAAAAACACGACGATTGAATTAATATTTACATTATCACATTACATGCTGTACAATTGAATTACCCAGAAATGGTGTTGACAGTCAGTAAAGAAGAGAAAATTGCGAGCTATTGACGGTTCCTCTATTATTTAATTAACATCTTCCCTGGTTACACCAATTCACGTCGTGTAGCTGTATTCTCAATGGCAAATACATGCGATGTTATAGTGTATTTATTTCTATAGGACGTGTGTATTTTGATCGTTTTTGACAATAATTGTGTAATTTTATCATCATAAAAGAAAAAGTAAAACAAACTCATTTCTATTTTATTTAAAGTTAAGAAACAGCGATGACATGTAATAAAATTTAAACAAAATAGAATAGAATATATTGATCTTTTCCGATATTTTATGCTGGACAAAAATATGTTAGTTTTGTATTTTTAATTCAATTTTTTCAAATTTAATTCGTAAATTCAATTAAGCAAATGCTCTCTGGATGAACTAGAAGGGGAGTGGGGTACCAGTTATAATTTCTATATAATATCCAAAAAAATGTTACATGTACTATTTGAACTAAATATAGACGGGAAAAGGAATCGCCTTATATTACTAGGGTATTGTTTTAAATATTTTTGAAATTAGCAGTATAAATGGACATGACCGCAATTTGTATTTTTTACAGCATTGCTCGTTTAAAATATTTTACAACCTAAAACCTAAACCTGGACCTAAAAAAAAGCACAAGGCTTCCTTTAATTTGTACGTTCAGGCGTTCTTCAGACGTTGTATTGTATCCCACCTGTTCGAACATATCTTTTCACCAATCATATTCTTCTCATCCCTGTGAATAAAACGACCTGGGACATCTGAGGAAAGTACCGCGGAGTGGCTTAAATAGGCGTGCAGAGGCCTTCGACTGACTATATTTCTTGTAGCGGATGCTTTAATATTATTCCAAACATGTATATAATCAACAAGTTCCACTTCATCAACGTTTATCAACACAATATGAATCAAAGTCTCAGTAAATAAATGAATATAGAATATTGACAAACATCTTTTAAAAAATGTTACAAAAACATTATTAGTATAAAGAAACGTGACAGACTTAAACTTTGTAAACACATGAATATTGCACAGTTTACAATAGGGTGGGTTTTTGACTTGTTGCATTTCCACATGATGGTTGTATGTGTGCTTTTAGACACAAAAAAACATCCAGTTAACACGGAAATGTAGAAAGTGTGATTTTTACCCCCCCCCCCCCCCCCAAAATAGCGGAAGGATATATTCGGTATGTGTGGACAATTTGATCCTATTAAATTGTTCTGTTAAATACATAGGTGCTCTGTCATGTGCAACAGCTACATATGAAAGAAAGAATATTGAATTCAATGCAATCAATGTAAGTCGTGCAATTCAAGTCAAACATTGAGTTAATAAATCGAAATTTCGAGTTTCGTTATTCGAAATTTCGAGTTAGTAAGTCGAAATTTCGAGTTAGTAAGTCGAAATTTTGAGTTAGTAAGTCGAAATTTCGAGTTAATAAAAAACATACACCTGGCACTAATGCTCTTCCGTACATTTTACCATTGGATTATCAAGGTTTTTATCTAGTTTGAAATACACGGCTGCTGTCAATTTTTAAAAGAAACCTCTTTTTTCCTCTCAAAGAAATGCAGTTAACAGTAGATCTATTCTTTAAAAAGATTCCTGACCGGTTATATGGCCGTATATAAACGGTCGTTTACAATACAAGCTAGCGGCTCGTGTTATTTAGCCAAATAACCGTTAATTTAGGGCCATATAATTTGTCAAAATTTTTATAATTATATTTATATGTAGTATACGATTAGATCTACATGCATATCTTAACTGGACTAAAAAAGATGTTATAGTACTATGCACGAAGATTTTAAAGTATTTTACTATCTATTTTCATATCATAATTTCAATGTAAAGCGGGATGTGCCAGGCATTCTAGTTATATTATTGAACGTCTTTTTGACACTAAATATTTCTAGTATTAATTGCACGAACGCAGTACGACTACACGACGTGAACATTCTTAACCTAGTCAATCGTCTGTCGGAATGCCCACTTCAACACAGACCGAGGGCAAATTGGTTACGACAAACAAATGATTTGGTGTCGCTGATGAACACATAACTTTAACTAATGGAATTTATATCTTCCTCTCTTGAAAAAGCAGTCATCGTTTTGTAGCGTTCCACGGGGAGAACAAATGTATTCAAAGCGTGAAAAATGCTAAGAGTAATCTGTCAAGACAAATTGTTTGTATTTCTTCTTAAATATATCGTCTGCTATGATGGCCTATTTTAACATATTTCCAAGTATAGAATTCATCTTTTTATAAAAGTTATGCAAATACTCCTGCCAGTACTGATATAAAATTTGATCTAATTTGATAAGAAATAACTGATATCTTAAAAAGTTGTATATTATACAAGTATTGAAGATGTATATGTATATCAGTTAAGTATTAAAGAAATGATATATTAAGATATTCTTATATTTTTTAAGGGATAAAATCTTAATAAAACAGAGAAATACTAAAATCATTCGTATACACTTCCTTATATGAAGTGAATTCTTTAGGCCAACATGCATTACAAAAAAAAACAGGGCAAACACGTAAAAAATATAGCATGGCAAGCATGTAGTAGACAACATAGCAGGGCTTTATTATGCCCCCGGCATAAAATGGCCGGGGCATATAGTGTTACCCTGTTCCGTCATTCCGTCCTTCCGTCATTATCGGTTTCCGTTCATTCTGTACACATTCAACTCAAATTTGACATATGGATATATCATAAGAAAATACATGCCAAGTCAAAATTTGGTCATGGTCCGATGATTTTTGACAGAGTTATGCCCCTTGATGAAATGTTCAGTTTCCGTTCATTATCTTCACAACGGTATTACACATTCCACTCAAATTTGACATATGGAATAAAGGAATGCGCAGGTCAAGTTAGAATTTGGTCATGGTTTGATGATATTTGGCAGAGTGATGCCCCTTTCACTTTGAAAATAATAAGAAATTTTTAGTTTTCCATTCATTATCGCCCCAACAGTATCATACCTTCATCTCAAATTTGACATATAGATACATCTTAGGAATAAGCAGTTAAAGTTTGAATTTGGTAATGGTTCAATGATTTTGGACAAAGTTATCTCGCTGAACATTGAATAGTTTTAAGGGCTTTGAACTTAAAATGAAAAATATAGTTTGTGCAAAAAAAATTTGAACTAAATATTATAACATCCATGAAAAACTTCTAGGCCCTACAGAAATTAAGATAAAGAAAATAAAAATGACATGCATAAAAAAGTACAATTGAAAAATGCATACAGAAAGAAAAACAGGGCGTACATACAGAAAGTAAGATAGGACGTGCAAATAGAAAGTAAGTTAGGACATACGTTCAGAAAGTAAAATAAGACATGCATACAGAAAGTAAAGTTTTGCATACAGACAGGACACGCAGGTAAAATAAGTCGGGAATGAAGAATATATAAAAGGATCGGCAACAAAAAATATTATTTCTCTCTTCCCATCGGTACGTGTACGTCTCTCTTCCTCGGTACGTGCACGTCGCAGAGAAGACACCGGGCATCGGCAAAAGATTAAGAGCTTTGCTGATTTTTTTCACGAATGATACGTTGACTGGTTTGATACGGGGTCTAGCGAAAGCTGCTTTTGTGCCCTTGCGTGTGGATGTACCCTCATTAAACAAAGACTACATGAATAAATACAAATGGCATAGAATGATACAGGATAGATATCAAGAAAAAGGGGCTACAATAATTTCGAAGTAAATGTAGAAACATTTAAGAAACTTAATCTTTTATTTATTGAGGAATATTCATAAATTCAAGTAAACAGACACGCAAAGAAAAACAAATAAATATTCTCATCCTTAAGCAGAAATATCAGTAAATACCGGTATTTCACGTCCTAAACAGATGTTAGTAAAATCTAAATAAATTAAAATTTAGTTTAACATAAAAATATACTTTACGTGTGTTTTGAAATAAAATATCCTTAACTATAAAACTAAACAAAATATGATTTGATTATAACTTTCCAAATAAGTAGGATAGGTGCCAGTAAAATTGTGTATTTTGTTGTTGTTGTTGTTTGTTTTCTTTTATTTTGTTTTTATTTTTAAGAATAAATAAAGATAATTAATGACAAGAACCTTATAAAGAAATCTGAAAGTCTAATTAATTTTAATTATTTTTTATAAAGTAACAAAACGTTTGTGATTAAATACTTTTATCAAAAATATAAGAGACTTTTGTTATAGATGAAGCTCAATGAAAATATTAAATACACCGTGTGTATAAGTTGATTTTTGAATACTCTTAAACGTAACATGCGTAGAAACAATTTCAGTGCTATACCGCTCCGTTAGAAAATTACTTCTATATTATTGGATCATTACTCTATGATGACGTCTATGCTACCCATGAGACATTCCGTAATTGAATTTGTCAAACAATTCGTTTATTAAAGCGACCGTTTCGTTTATTAAAGCGCCATGATTACCCTGGATAATGTAGTTAGCCTTAACTTTATGGTCTAAACTTTCCGCTCCTTCCGTCTACATGATCTGACGAGCTAGGTGACGACAACTAGCGCACATTACAAACGCCTATTATCTTATGAACATATAATTTATGAACATCTTTAAGAACAACATTAACAGAGCAATTCCTTTGAGGGAAACAAGGCATATAAAGAAACACATTCTGTATCTTTATTCAATTACATTGAATAAAAATGTATAATTTTTTTAATGTATAAAAATATCACATGATTTGAAAATGTCTCATTATTTTATTGTAGGTGCCAAAAAAAAAAAAATCAACAAAAGTACAATGTTCAACGATTCTAGCCTTACAGCGATTTCATTCACAAGCACCGGGAACCTGTATTGTCTTAATGGTCATGGTGCTCAAAGTCTTGCACATGGTAGGGAACCAGGTGTATCGAACGGAAGTGGTCGAGGACGACGTGCTGCAAACCAGGAAAACACGGGATTAAGTCGGGAAGAAAGACGACGCAGACGACGAGCAACGCAAAAATATAGGTCTGCGCACGCAACTCGAGAGAGGGTGCGCGTTGAAGCTTTTAATGTGGCATTCACGGAACTTAGAAAACTTTTACCTACGTTACCGCCCGATAAAAAGTTATCAAAGATAGAAATTCTAAGACTTGCTATTTGTTATATTTCGTATTTGAATCATGTTCTGGAGCTTAATTGATGTTTTATATCAAACCAGAAAAAAATAACGTTATTTTCGTACAAATGTTGTTACCGTCTTATGGAAAAATGTTGTTTAAACTGTTCTTTTACATTATCAATATGTGAAAACAATTAAAGTAAGAATAAAAGACAATCAAAGCAAAAAACTGTTGTTTTATTCCCATATTGAAAAGCACTTATGATGGATTTAATGTAATTTGCAGGGTGAACTTTAGTAATAATGGTAGAGACGGAACCCCAAGTTTATCAAGACATAAGCGGGTATCGACGGTCTTCTGCAAATTACAAGTTTTCGCTACAAAAAAAGATTTCAGAATTTCTAGTAAGACTGCATGTGTAAATATGACTAAATCACTGGCACACACTTAAACAAAAACAAACATATTTTTATAAAAGACTTTACTTATTTATTTATGTTTATCACATGTGCAACATATACATTACCATCATAATAAAATTGATAAAAGCAATAAAGAATTATATGAGATAAGAGGTAAATATATTTAACCTTGAATCATATTTACATTTATACAATATACACATTGCATATTCACATTTATACAATATACACATTGCATATTGACAATTATACAATAAACACATTGCATATTTACATTTATACAATATACACATTGCATATTTACATTTATACAATATACACATTGCATACATTGTATCAACATTTATACAATATACACATTGCTTTCCATGTATAGGAAATACTGTGAGTCTTTCATTGTCTTTAGAGCTTACATATATATGCAAGACAATATGCAGCTATTCACTGGATTGATGTTTTAACAGTCTGAAATTTTAAAATAGCAGGAAGTATAAAATACGCTAAAACAGATTAAAAACATCATTCTAGACCAATTAAATATGCTTTCAGCGGAAATTTTTGCAACATTCTACAACATATAATACCTATATATAAGAGTTATATACAGAAAAAGTATTAAAGCAGGCTTTGGACGTAAACTTAGCTATACATTGATTTGCAAAAACACTAAGCGTCAGCAGTTTCTCATAATCAGATAAGTTGTCAAAATTACTATCAACTGTTCAAACAGATTCAGGTTGGTCTTCCTTGAACCGTATATATAGACAGTGTACTAAAACATTCATTTGTAGATTTCAATCTTTGTCATATCAATTCATGTATTGACAAATAGACATGTACTCCAAAACGATGCTAATTTTGAATTACCACAGATCAAATATATGTAGTATTTGATAAATGAGCCGCGTCATGAAAAAACCAACGTAATGCGTTTGCGACCAGCATGGATCCAGACCAGCCTGTGCATCCGCGCAGTCTGATCAGGATCCTTGCTGTTTGCTTACAAACTCTATTACAAATAGAGAAACTGATAGCGAACAGCATGGATCCTGATCAGACTGCGCGGACGCGCAGGCTGGTCTGGATCCATGCTGGTAGCAAACCCATCATGTTGGTTTTGTCATGACGCGGCTCAAATATTTTATATTCAGCTAATATTGAATATTCCATTTAACCTGGTGTAGGCCTACCATGCTATATAACCTTTAATTTCTTTGCGATGATTTAGTTCGTCAGTAAACTGAGATTGTTAGGATATGTGACACTACGCAATAAATTAACATTGCTGTGTGAGATAAAATTACAATAATAAAGCTATGAGAAGAAATGAGCATTTACTGTAAGGATATTTGATTCTGTAACATTTAATATCGTGGACACGTGTCGATCCTTCTCCTTACAATAAGACACCTTATTCAGGTTTCTCGGGGACTAATTAAGACCAATCTTTCAGAGAAGAAAATTTAAAGTGTTTTTATTTTCAAGAATGCGCCGTCTTATTGGAAATAGAACATCTAATTACTGTAAATTATAACGACAGTTTAATGACGTGCACATGTTCCGTGTAATTTGTATTTTCAATTAGTCTTTTTACTGCTTGGAAGGGGATTCATTATGATTATTGAGATAGAGTTATGTTTAATTTCACATACCGCCTCCTTTACCTAAATCTAAAGAATATATTATAAAAATTGTCCATGTCTTTATTATAATTTTGTTTAAAAAATCATATTATAACAATGTGTAAAAATATATAGCACAAATAAACGCTTGTGTTGATCGGCGTTAAAGTTAGGAAAGCTGTATTTTGCTGCACTGAAATTAGTCTTTAAATTATATCATATTGTAATATTGTACAAGGTTTAATTAAAACCTGGAATAAAAGATGTCAGACAAAATAATTTATCATATAGGAGTTAAATTTTCCGCTGAATTATATATACATATTCCCGTTGAAGTATGAATATCTAAAATGAAACGCCTTCATTTGGGGAGTTTACTTTACTGTCGGTTTTGTTGTTGTTGTCTTTTGTTTGTTTGTTTCTGTTTTTGTGCTGTTTTTTTGTTGTTGTTTTTCGTTTTTATATTTGCCGTAAAATTTAACAATTTAATTACCATAAGGGATATGAGCTGGCGAACTTAAAATAGAAAATATTCCTAACATATGCATTCTCATATTGTACGAGATATAGTAAAAAATATACATAATTATGTTCCTTATATTGATAACTTGTTTGAAGTTAATCAAAATCTCCTTACCCATATGATCATTATGTATTTACGTAAACTATTCTATTTTTCAGTCAAAGGAAATCAATTAAATCAGTAGGGAAATATTAACATTGAATGTCGTTTAATCACAAAAATCGAATTTATCAACAACAATAAAAATCAGGTAAAGCAGTTTTGCTTTACATGTATTGTAGAATTATTGTAAGTTACATTCAAGTTAACACGTTGCCTAAAATATATGTTACCTTCGCGCGCTGTATTGTATTTTTTCAGAAAAGAGTTTATTCCACGTATGCATTTTAATCAAACACTTCCACCAGGCTTTTTTTTTCTTTCTTTTTTTTCTAAATTGATTAAAATGATATTTTTTTTTAAATCAAAAACAAATTCTGTTGATAATGCTAGAAGAGCAATGTTTTCTGTGTGACCAAAAGTCCCGTAAATTGTGTCTACCAATTTCTTGTTTAACCTTTCCTTCTTTATAAAAGTGAAGTTTGGAGATTAGAACAAGTTCAAATTTTAGAGAAATTTCAAATGTATTATTGTACGTTTATTTTGAATTTCAAAGCTTCTACGCCTTATTGTATTGTAAATGGTGAATCGGCTTATTTCCATTAGTAGCAAGAGTTAAACTTATTAATGCTTAGGGAAATAAGATACGTAAACTTCTGTATAAAACAATGTAGGAATATTGTAAATTCGAAATGTAAATTCAATTAAAAAAAAAGAGCTGAAAAATTATATTTAATAGGACGATACGTTCACCAACATTAGATCTTTTTAATAAACTTAAATGGCTGAAATTCAATTTTAGAGTGAAATACCACACAGCAATTATGTTGTATAAATCTTTAAACAATCCGGCAACGATGTATATGAGTAAAAGTTTTACTTTCTATTATAATTAATTACATATAATTTAATCTCAATCGCTCATAAGGATCTTGTTCTGAAAAGTATACCTCATACTTATTATTCAGTATTGACGTTTGGAATCACTATCCTTTACAATCTTTCAAAAACAGCTGTAAAATTTATTATCTAAGTTTACAGTTAGATACATGATGAAAATTGACCACTTTATATTTTAACTATTGTAAATATTGAAATCCTTTTTTTTTAAATTCTTTTATTGTATCATTACGAGTTTATCTATAATTACCATAATTAATATGAGTGTCAGTCGGATGAATGAATAAAAACTATCTAACCTTTACATTTTTTGTTTGTTTGTACAAAAAGATTTTAAATTTTGTATAGATCTTCATTTTTTTCTAATCAGAAGGCTATACTGAAAATAAGTATACTTCTTACTGTGTTACAAACGTTGTATGTTATATTCTATAAATAAAGATTTTATCATTATTATTATTATTATTATCTTTATTATTATTATTATTATTATTATTATTATTATTATTATTATTATAAATGCAGAACATTTGTGAAAGAAACGCTTAGTAATATTGGTATGTTAGAATATTATCATCTACAGAAAGTAGATAATATTAATCACATTAAAAGCATTGTGAAGCTTATATCAGTTTTTCAAGATTGACATAGTACTTTTGATACATCTTCTAAGTGATTAGTGTATCGTACATATACAAATACTCATTATTTTGAAAAATATCTAGATATACTTCCATTTGACATAGGCATGGAATAAGATAATGATAAGCCCTATAACGAAATCAAGTACTGTCGATCCAAGAGATACATTGTCATATACAGGCTTGCCATTGTCTTACACCATGTATAAGATATATTGTACACTTTTGAATTACCGTTTATATAAAAAATGGGCAGAATCTAACAATATACACAGTGATGAGCAAAATGGTTTAAGGTCGCAGTACCATTGATCATGTGTCATCTTTAACTAATATTGTAGAAACTAGAAAGAAACAGAAATAATCAACCTTTTGTGCATTCATTGATTTCCGTAAGGCATATATGACTTTGTCGACAGATCATTGTTATGGAACAAATTAGATAGCTAAGGTATTCATGGTAATATGTTACTGGCAATACAGTCACTGTATAACTCAGTTTCATCTTGTGTCAGGATATTTGAACCGCGTCATGACAAAACCAACATAATGGGTTTGCGACCAGCATGGATCCAGACCAGCCTGCGCATCCGCGCAGTCTGATCAGGTTATCAGTTTCTCTACTTGTTATAGGGTTTGTAAGCGAACAGCATGGATCCTGATCAGACTGCGTGGATCCATGCTGGTCGCAAACGCATAAAGTTGGTTTTGTCGTGACGCGGCTCAAATAGCCTTACAACAGAATGGTGTTCCTAATATCCTTTACTGTTCAATATGTTATTTGGGTATTGTGTTTACAACAGGAGGATCACTAAGTACAGCACAAAAACATTATCTGGTCAAGCCCAGAAAGCTATTTCTAAATTAGAGAAATATTAGTATATAAGTTTACTTATATACTCACAAAACATAAATTAGAATTGTTTGATAAGCTGGTAACTCCAATATTGAGTTATTGTTCCGAGGTATTCTGTTTCGCTAATGATTTATCGATTGAGAGAGTGCATTTACAATTTTGTATGAAAAACCTATTAGGTGCAAAGAAAACTACACATAATGACTTCATTTATGGTGAATTAGGTCGAACTTTTTTAAGATTTTACAAATGTACAAAGCAATAAAATTCTGGCTAAGAATTTTACAAACGAAACAAAACAAATATATTGTTATTGTTTACGATTTACTCAAATCAGATCTAGTTAGGTATTCTAGAAAAGTAAACTGGTGCTCATCTTTGAAAGATTTATTATGTTCACTAGGATTAGTTACCAAGGAGTAGGACATGTTGATATGTTTCTGTCTATAACAAAACAAAGGTTAAATGATCATTTTATTCAAAACTGGAACGCAAGACTAAATCAATCCAGTAGGGCTTTATTTTATAATACAATATCATCTTTTAGATTTCAGCCATATTTAGAATGTTTTAATGTTCAAAAATTTTGTCAAGCGTTTTCCCGTTTACGAGTCTCTTCTCATAGATTACAGATAGAAGCTGGTAGATGGTCTAGGCCACATAGGACCCCTTTAAATGAAAGAATTTGTGTAAGATGTGGTAAAATCGAAGACGAATATCATTTTATATTAGAATGTTTGTTATTTATTGATATAAGAAAAAAGTATATTGATAGACGCTTTTGGATAAGACCTAGTATGCGTCAATTGGTTGACCTTGTAAATTCAGAAAATAACAATACTCTAAGAAACCTTGGAATATTATTATCTAAAATGCTTTTAACATTCGAAATTCGGTCTTATATGCCAATTAAAGGAATTCAAATAAGTAACATAGATATGTCATACATATTTTTATTGTAATAAGCTTCTTAATAAGAAATGTATTGATATTATTTGCTTTAGTATATATCCAAAACACTTGTCTAATTAGAAAACAGCAAATATGTTATATAATCATGTTTGTGTTTGCATGTCATACTATCGGACTAACAGTTTCGTTTCGGTAAGACTGATTTAATATGGAATTATTATAAAAGAAATTTATACAATATAATCTACGTCTCTTGCCTCAATATTGAGGTAAGATATGTAGATAAACTAATTTAGTTTAATGAATTATGTAATGTAGTGAACATTAATTATGTTTGTTGTGACACTACTTCATAGATTAATATGGTAAATTATATTATGTTTATCTGGGTAGCTAAACATTTCCAGAACAGAACATATAATTCATACAATCATTTTAATAGATATGAAGTACGTGAATGTAAGACAAACATAAATTAATATTTGCATTATTCTACGTTCTTACGAATAAGTTGTTATTATGACCTTCTCCTTTTAAGTCATAATTATATTGTGATAATGTTTTTGTATGTTAACATATGCACTGTTCGTTATCTTGTAAATATGCTGTTACTATGTCATCATGGGCTTATAAGCTTTATTTGATTTAAATAAATTGGATGTCTGTCTGTCTGTCTTTATATGTGATCTTGTTGTAAAAATTAAAGCTATTGGTAAAGGAATTGATATAGATAATGATAGGGTTTGCATATTATTATATGCTGATGATATTGTACTTGTAGCTTAAACTGAAAATGATCTTCAACTTATGCTTAATGTTTTGTCAAATTGGTGTACATCAAATGCTATGATAGTAAATCATGATAAGAGCAACATTATTCACTTTAGGTCGAAGTCGGCGAGCAGGTCCTCATTTGTTTTCACATGTGGCGAGCATAGTCTAAAAACTGTAGGACAATATACTTACCTTGGTCTGTTACTTGATGAGTTTCTTGATTATAATAAGACCGCTAAATGTATAGCTCAAAGTGCAGGTAGAGTACTGGGGTTACTTATTGCCAAATCAAAAGCATTAGGGTCCATGCCATATGATGTCTTTGTTAAATTGTGTGATTCATTGGTTTGGCCAGTCATTTCATATGGTGCTTCTATTTGGGGTAATAAGTCATTTTCCTGCATTGATGCGATACAGAAAAGGGCAATACGTTTTTATCTGGAAGTAGGGCGGTATACACCTACAGCAGCTTTATATGGAGAATAAGCTTGGTAGCCGACACATGTGAAACAATGGAGATCTGTATTTCAACAATGGCATAGATTTGTTAGAATGGATGTCAATAGAGTTAATTGTAAGATCTTTTCTACTTGTTTGAGCAAGAGCAGCACTGGCAAATTATATTTAATAATCATATGGAAAAGTTAAATTTAGTAGAGTATGCACGTGGTTGTCTAACAGCCTCATCTTAGTCTTTTTGTGAAAAAAAAATGTTAAAATTGTATGTCTTTATATAAAGATGAATGGATAGCTAAGCTTAAAAGGAATGTTAGTCTAAATGGGAATGGTGGTAATAAATTAAGAACATATAAGTTGTTAATAATGTGTACAAAACTGAACATTATTGTAAACTATATTTGCCACGTAAACACGTGTCTGCACTAGCGAAATTTAGATGTGGAGTAGCTCCCATAAAGCTTGAAACTGCATGGTAGATATGAAAACATTGCTGTTGACAGTAGGATATGTCCAATATGTAAAATTACAGTTGAATGTGAAACACATGTATTATTATTGTGTTATGCATTAGGTTACCTATGTTAGAAAAAGATCGTAACTTAAGGCCAGAATTTGTTTGACCTCTTTGATGAAGATACAATTGTATTCATTCTCTCCAACAATGATATTGTTAAAGTCACAGCCAAAACCTGTTACAATTTTCTTCAACTCCGCTATAATATAATTATTGTACAAGTAATTCAAGGATTTTCAGACCACTTAGGGCTTTTTTTGTTTCTTTTTTTTAAATTAATTTTAATATAGTCTTTTAACAGTTTTTTTAGATTATCTGGTGCTTATAGTAAATTGTATTGTACAAATGTAACATATCTTTTTTAAACATGATAAGTTGTTTTATCTACTAACGCGTAGAATATCACCACTGACCATTCATCCATGGTCTGACCACGGGTGATATATTTAATTAATTTGTGGAATAATGCCACATTTTACAACACTCAGAGATTTATTATCATAATATCTTATGGCATTTCTTTTTTTTAAATTGAAGGTCAGTGGGGGTAGTCTAACTTTTATGATGTAAAATGTTCTTATAATGTTACATTACTGCTATCAGTAGGAACTTAGTATCATTGGTATACGTATAATGATACTTTTAGTATATACATGATAAAGTATCTTATAATTCTATTGTAGAATAGTCATACGTACTTTTTTATCAATTTTTATATGTTTTATGTATATAGGTATGCATATGAAAGAGACTGGAATAAACTAATAATAATAGGTAAATATTTATGTAAATTTAGAACAATGAATCACCTATTACCAATTGAAAAAGGCAGACATTTGACGATTTCTCATAATAATAAGTTCTGTTCCTGATGTTCGTATCAAGCTATTGGTGATAAATTGAATGGTCGTACTTTAATGACATTAGACGTAAATCTCTTCTTCCCAGTTTCATATTCATCCCAATATTTTTAAACTTGACAGATTAATGAATAGTTGTCATAAAAATACACTAAAACTATCTTTATTTTGTTAAAACATTATGTTAGAAAAATAGATAATTAATACTTCTCATTCTCCATTCCTATTTGTTACAATGTAAAATACATGTTGTATTGAATCCAGTAGTTCAAATAAACAATATGATCTCCTATTTTTGATTTTTAGCTACTCATAATTGTATTCTTTTATTGATATCATACTGTTATTTTCTGTTCATAAGTGGGTTATTAGCAGAGGGAAAAATAAAAAACAACCCTTTCTAGGATTGATAACGTTTTACTGGGGTTAATTAGGCAGTTTTTTTGTCTACGGGTGTGTAATAACATTAAATATTCCAGATAATTGAAAAAATTGACAATTACATGTATATAAATTAAAATATTATATGGCTAAAGCCCATATGGCTGATTTTACTTCGGACAGTCGGAAGTGACATAAATTCAATTGCTCCGGATATCAGAAGCTTAATATGTTTATCAAAATAGCAATTATACATAAAAAATGTCATTCGAAACAAAGAAAATTGAATAACGGTATGCCAGATTATTGCATTATGGTAGCCATTTTGTTCTACAAAAAACTTTTGCATCGGATGGAAAAAGAGAAAATCATGAATGACTGCTTATAAATAAGCATTTCAAAACTTTGAATATGACGTGAACATAAACATGATATTCACAAACAATCTTAAACATGGTTTCACAGTTTTTAAGTTTTTAAACTAAACTTAGTGATGGAAATAAACTCAAAACAAAAGATGACACCTGACTTTTGAAGGGAGATGAATAGTATAAAATATGAAAACTTAATGACATACCAGGGTTGTCTGTCTTTCTAATAAACTGCATTTATGAAATACGAGATTTCGTATAAAGCTTATTATAACCAGTTGCATATTACATGCTTCAGTTTAAGAAAAACTGAAACTAAAACTTAAGTATATTTTTGCGCTTTTTTATGTTTCTTCATATTTATTATTCTTTAGAATAGAAACTTCGGCAATTAACTCTCAAACGCTTTCATGATATAATACATGTTCATGTGTGTGTAAATTACTTATAACATAGCAAGATGACGTGGATGCAATTCTTGAATTGCTATTATTTTAACATTTACAATTTGTTTTAGAAATTCTACATTCAAATACATAACATACATCCGCGCAGTATAATCAGGATGCTGTTCGCTATTAGTTTCTCTACTTGAAATAGGGTTTGTAAGCGAACAGCATGGATGCGCGGATGCGCAGGCTGGTCTGGATCTATGCTGGTCGCAAACCCATTATGTTGGTTTTGTCATGACGCGGCTCAAATTATTAAAGCCATATGACACAAACCATTAGAACAAATAAAACAAATGATACTTTTAAAATATACATTTTAACACATCAAATGCTTCTAATTTTAGTATATGATTGGAAAATCACAAATTTATAGCCTTTACTTTTTTCATTTCATTTTCTTTAATTTCTTTTTAGTTTGTATTTAATTATCGCGTTACTTCAACAATTATATATTTAAAGATATACAATGTATTAATAATACATGTGTCACGGGGTGAAATATTTCTAGTACTCAGGAAGTACAGAAACCAATTGTGGGCGTAGTTTCGATGATAATTAAATTCTGAATAAAACGGTCTTTAAAGATAACAAGATTAATATATCCTATAAATATAATACATATAGAACAAAATACAAACCGTTTTCAGTTTCAAGGTAATAGTGACCTTTGACCTTGTGACCCAAAATGTATAGGAGTCTTCTACTCAATATTGACAATCATCCTATGAAGTTTGAAAACTGTAGGCCAAATGGAACTTAAGTTATGCTCCAGAAACCATAATTTTCAATGTAAAGATCAGTGTGACCCTGACCTTTGACCTTATGACCCTAAAATCAATAGGGGTCATGTATTGGACATGGCTGTTCATCCTAAAAAATTGTACAGTTGTAGGTTATTAATACTTATGTTATTGAGAGGAAAATGTTTTTTTTTTAGTTTTAAGGTAATAATGACTTTGACCTTATGACCCAAAAATCAGTAGGGGTCTTCTTCTCAATATGGACAATCATCATATGAAGTTTGAATATTGTGGGCCAAATGGAACTTAAGTTATGCTCCGGAAATCAAATTGCTAACGGACAGACAGACAGACGGACGGCGGACGCCAGATGGTATAACATAATATGTCCGAAATTCTTTCGGGTATATAAAAAGCAATCTCCTCTTTCTGAAAAGAATGTTCCTGGAAAGATAGCATATGATTTACAGTGTTTCCAACCAAGAAAGGTATGTGTGCTAAATGTTAAATGAAAGATAAACAAAGATAATTGAATAACATAACATAGAAGTAAACAAGAATAATGAAGTAAGACAGTTTCTACAAATTAAAATGTCTAGATAAGTTTAAAATTGTATTTACACGTATCATCTAGCATCAATTATGTTGTGTTTATCATAAAAAAGTTCTTTTTTAATCATATCACAACAGCTGTTTATTGTATGTAGTCGTATAGGAACTTCTGTTCTTATGAAACATCCTCCTTATTTTGTAATGTCGAGAGCACAGCAGTAGAATTTTACATTATTCAATGCACTGTCATCATTTTTACCTTGTGGCTCTTCTACTTTCGTCCTCATACCTAAATTTATACATTTAAAAAAATCATGTTTACGTGTATAAGGTTGTTAAAGATATACAATACAATTAAGCCCGTCACTGATAGTATGTCTTTAATTCACTGATCATTTTATGTATTAAACTGATAGACTTATATTGTTCAGAATTGAAAGTGATTATTTGCTGCGGTCTAGTTGTCCCATTTTTCCCTATTTTTATGGACAAGTTTTGTCATAATTTCCAAATTTGTCAACATTTTATTTAGCATTATGTATTATCTTTTGTATTGATGGACCTTCTCAAATTATTAATTTTTGCTGAGAATCAATGTCGTATTATTGTGACAGACGGTCTTACCATCTAGTCTTAAATCATTAATTTCACATTGTTCTGTTCTAGTCGCTCAGTCTCTTACGGTCCTTATAATTGAGCCGCGCCATGACAAAACCAACATAATGGATAACATAAAATACAGCATGTATCCAGCGCAGTCTGATCAGGATCCATGATGTTCGCTTACAAACCGTATAACAAGTAGAGAAACTGAAAGCGAACAGCATGGATCCAGACAAGACTGCGCATCCGATGAGTCTGGTCTGGATCCATGCTGGTCGCAAACTCATTATGTTGGTTTTGTCATGGCGCGGCTCATATAACTTATTTGCTGTTATTTGTCATGACAGACTTTGTCATGCTGTATATTTTTAAACGACAGATTTCATACTTCACGAACTGTCTCATACTGGTAAGTTTTGTTAGGAGAAATGCTATACTATTACTATCTTTTTGCACCGGGCTACTGTGTCATTTTGTCACATTTTGACGATTGAATATCCAATGTAACTTCAGGCTTCACATGATGCTTGCATGTTATTAAAACGTAACAGTGTTTGGTCTTAAAACAAAAGAACTCTATGAAAATTTACGAACCATTCGTACTTGTTTTTTTTTTCTTATTAAATGCGTGACGGTTTCAATAATACATTGACAGAAATATCTAACTGTACAAACCACATATAGCCGATCCAGACGGGCAACTTTCACTCTCCTCCCAATATGTCCCCCAAGGCTCACCATAACCAGGAAATATCACTAGCGGTATCTCGTTGGTGGTTTTCAAGATATCTTGACATTTAAATGTGGCAAACGATGCGCCAATATGAAAATAATCATGCTGTAAGTAGTAAAAGAGATCAAAATTATATATGTATTAGTATATACATATAGATATATGAAAATTTGATTTTAAGAGAGTATAAAATGTGAAGAAATAATTAAATTAATTTTAAACACAATCTGCATATAATCTGCGAAATTCTGCAATGGAAATTTCTTACAGTATCCTGTCTTTAACATAAACACAGGGTTTGGAGCCCCATTTGAATCTCAAAATTAAGCATCGGTAAAAATATGAGTGTATGTGAATTTACTCTGATGCCAGATATAACAACAAATGTGACGGAGATAACAGGTCAATCACAGTTTTAAAACTTTTTAATCAAATTCAATTTATTAAGAAAATCAAAATGCGATTCTGTCCTTCTGACTTGTATATTTACTCATTTTGTATTGAATTTAAAGGTAGTCTTTGTCGTGACAATCTTTCCTTTGTGTGTTCTTGTATACCGAAAACATGCAATGCGTATGAAGAAAATGTCGCTAAACGGACTCAAAATACAGAGTTTTCACAAAATCTTACCACCGAACTATGTTAAACAATTAAACAAAGTCATATTGAAACATTTATTGATATGTGGCTCAAAATAACGGAATTGCTGTTTATGGTCAATATTTTTCAGTCGAGCTTCATATGTGCTGAAGAGATCCATATCTGATATAGAAAACTATATACAAAACTACTGATCACTTGAATATAATAATTGAATACCATTTAAGGTTTCGTAGCTTTTGCCGAAAGTCCATTAGTCAGTGTGTTTGGTAATGAAATATCACTACATCAATTGGCTAACTATCTAATGCTAGAAATATAAATACTAAAAATACCGAGTATATAAAAGATTTGACATAGAGCGAATACTACTCGCATGACAATTAATTTCTCTAAAATAACGTTACAAGCCAAAATATAATGTATCAAACAGCGTACAAGTGAAATTGACCACATCTTTGTTAAGCTACATATCATATAATGTTTCCTTAGATTATTTAAATCCATACAGATAAACATCATTTTAAGATCCACAAGTGTATCTAATAGATTTTCACTCACAGGAACAAGTTTTTTTCATATTGAATGTCATGCAGTGAATTATTGTAAACTTCTTCATAACAAGAGGGCCATGATGGCCCTGGATCGCTCCCCTGACCCATCAACCGCATCCAAGCAATATCTTAGACAAGCATCCTGGCCAAGTTTGATGATAGTTGAGTAAAAATGTGACCTCTAGTTTGTTAAAAAGGTTTTCCATATTTGGGCAATGCGACCAATTTTTTGTAATTTTTGACTGGAGACGACCCATATTCGAACTTGACCTAGAAATCATCAAAACAACCTTTTTGACAAATTTCCAGAATATTTGGATCAAAACTGTAGCCACTACAGTGTATAAATTTTTTTCTATTTTTAGCTTCTGTGACCTAGTTTTTGACCGGACATGACCCATCTTCGAACTTGACCTGAAAATCATCAAAACAACCTTCCTGTCAAATTTCCAGAATATTTGGATCAAAACTGCAGCCAGTAGAGTGTTAACAAGCTTTTTTCTATTTTTAGCTTCTGTGACCTAGTTTTTGACCAGAAATGACCCATCTTCGAACTTGACCTAGAAATTATCTGAACAACCTTTCTGACAAATTTCCAGAATGTTTGGATTAAAACTACAGCCACTAGAGTGTTAAGAAGCTTTTTCTATTTTTAGCTCCTGTGACCTAATTTTTGACCGGACATGACCCATTTTCGAACTTGACCTAGAAATCATCAAAACAACTTTAAAGACAATTTTCTAGAACATTTGGATCAAAACTGGAGCCAGTAGAGTGTAAACAAGTTTTTTTTTCTATTTTTAGCCTCTATGACCTAGTTTTTGATCGCAGATGCTCATTTTCGAACTTGACATAGAAATCATTAAAACAACCTGCCTGACAAATTTTCAGAATATTGGATCAAAACTGCAGCCAGTAGAGTGTTAACAAGCTTTTCTATTTTTGGCTCCTGTGACCTAATTTTTGACCGGAGATGACCCATCGTTGACTTCGACCTAGAAATCATTAAAACAGCCTTCCTGACAAATTTTCAGAATATTTGGAACACAACTGCAGCCAGTAGAGTGTTAACAAGCTTTTTCTATTTTAGCTCTTGTGACCTAGTTTTTGACCGGAGATGACCCATCTTCAAACTTAACCTAGAAATCATTAAGACACCCTTTCTGACAAATTTCCAGAATATTTGGATCAAAACTGGAGCCACTACAGTGTGTTAACAAGCCTTTTCTAGTTAAAACTCCTGTGACCTAGTTTTTGATCGGAGATTTTACCCATCTTCGAACTTGACCTAGAAATTATCAAAAAAACCTTCCGGACAAATTTCCAGAATATTTGGATCAAAACTGCAGCCAGTAGAGTGTTAACAAGCTTTTTCTCTTTTAAGCTCCTGTCGCCTAGTTTTTGACCGGAGATTACCCATCTTCGAACTTGACAAAACAACCTTCCTGACAAATTTCCAGAATATTTGGATCAAAACTGCAGCCAGTAGAGTGTTAACAAGCTTTTTCTATTTTTAGCTCCTGTGACCTAGTTTTTGATCGGAGATGACCCATCTTCGAACTCGATCTGTATTTTATTAAAACAAACAATGTGACAAGTTTGACAATCAAAACTGTGACTGCTAGACTGTTAACAACCCAATTGCGAACGACGCACGACGCACAACGCCGAACATAGACCCATCACTATACCTCACCTTTACCACTTCGTGGTCAAGTGAGCTATAAACTGTCCTCAAAAGAAATATTCTACTCTCGTGTCGAATAAACAACGCAAAAACAAGTCATTATTTGTATGACAATGATAAACAAAGAATCATGAAATGTATTCATAATTTTGGCAGCAATCTGTCATTGTTACATAATAATAAGTGTTTATAATCAATTAATCAAGTTCCAAAAACCACCTTAAAGACATACTATTATTTGTAATGGTTTGGTTTGATTAGGACAACGCTTTTTCATACGCCGCTTGTCGTGGAATGGTACGAAGGTGTCATATTGAAGGTTATATGAAAACCGCCGTATGAACACATCTGCGGATGTTTGTAAATTGGAAAAAAAAAACATTTTCGTGTTTAGATGTTAAATTCTGCTTAAGCTGGTGCTAGGGGACGTGGACGGTATCTTGCATATTCCGAAACCGTTCACGAACATGCTCATTCAAACCAGACTGCAATTTTTTTCAATTCCGTCGTTTTGGGCGTTCTTTTGGGATTCCGTTTGTCTCTTAATTTGTTACAGAATGATACACAAAATAATAAAACATCGATTGCTTTACGGAAGTTATCCGTTATTATGTTGTTTACTGTTATATCTTGCAACAATTTCAATAAGGAGTTGTTTGGATGTTAATGTCACGGTTCAGAACTGTTCACTATTTAGGGGAGATAATGTGTAAGCGGCCAGATAGCTCAGTCGGTAGAGCCGCGGTACGGTATTCGGAGGGTCCCGGGTTCGAGTCCCGGTCAGGCTGCAAATTTTTCTCACCCTGTGACATTTGGCGCACAACGGGGGACCGTGACTGATATAGCTCAGAGTTTAATTTACATTGCTCTGTAACTCTGTGAAATTCGAGGACGAATTTCAATATAGCAGGGGAGTATGTCTCGGTTCAGAACTGTTCACTATTTAGGGGAGAAGATGTGTAAGCGGCCGGATAGCTCAGTCGGTAGAGCCGTGGAACGGTATTCCGAAGGTCCAAGGTACGAGTCCCGGTCAGGCTGCACATTTTTCTCACCCTGTGACATTTTGCGCATTGTTTGGTTGTATTATTTTGTGAAAATATTTTAGGCACACCAGAACCTACTACGTAAAGAATATCTCGACGAAGACTGCATAAAAATCCGGAACAAAATTGGTAAATAAAAGTCAGACATTTATATTTACTTAAAAAAAAACTTTGAATTTTATATATTCGTTTAAAACTTGAGATTGACCTTTTTTCGATTCTCAATTTTAAGATCCATACGTGATAAATACTAATCACACTATACAAACAAAGTATCATTTTCCCAATTGTAGAAAAATTTCAAATATATCAAGCAGTAAATCCCATATAAGCTTCGATTTGAATAACAATCCTTAAGTATTCTGCTTCAAATGAAATGAATATGTTAAATAATGTTATATGTACAAATTTATTTTTTATAGAAATGAGGTTTTTTTTTCTAACTCTTATACCATTTGCAGACGAAATCGAGTTAGGAAAGTGGCAGTTTGTCCTGCTTTAGGACACAATTTATCTGTTCTGTAGGAGCCCCATTTGCTCTCCCACGACGTAATTGTCTTTCCGGTGGGTTTTCCAAACCTGTCGGCACAGATCAATCTTATAGCATTAAGTCCAGTGTCATCTGCACTGCCTTGATATGGTTCGATCTGCAAAAAAGAAAAAGAAAATAAATAAACAAAAAATAGCATGACTATACTTGTATCACATATTATGTACTCATAATTCCACGTGGTCAAAAAATGTAACAAAATAAAGTTTGTTTTTAAAAACTTCGGACTGTTGCACGAAGGCATCAAATCGTTTTATTGGTAAAATTAATTGTAGACATACTTATTATTCATAAACTACACTTACAGGCACTTAAAACTAGACACTTTCATTTTTCTGTATAAATAGGTTATTTGTGGACGGATTTTGTTCAAATTTGAACCATACACAATTTTATAATACTTACTACTTAGAATTATATTAACAATTCATCGATAAGAAAATAGAAAAAAACAAATAGGCAACTGTAAAATGAAAAAAAATCACAGAATGAATGTAAAATCGAAACAAAATGAACAGTCTCTGAATCCTACAAAATCATAATTAGTAATTTTAGTCCAGTCATGTCCAAAACCCATTAAAGTTGTTACTTCTAACTAAATGATAGTCATTCTTGTAAAATATGTTTATATTGTAATCCATTGAATCAGGGAAACCCGTTGCAAATGTTGAGAGAACTTGTGGGTCAACCCTTTTTGCCAAATATGGCATGTCATTGTATTGTAACTGTTTACATGTATTTAAATGTCTTATTTTGGCAATAAAATATGTTTAAATAAAAAATTACAGTTGTTGTTGTTGTTATTTTTATCATTAGTTGTTTATCCAGTTACACAATCACTCATATTATACATTGCTCATTTACACTTTTATTTGTGCGACTTACTTTAAGATTATAACCTATGGCATATTGTCTGTCTGGGCAGAATTCAATATGACCCCATTGACCCTGAAACCCGCCTAGTACTCTCAGAGTCTTCTTCACGTTCCACATCACTGTCAATGATTTGTAAGAAGAAAGTAATTACATGTTTAACAAAAATGTTCAAAGCTTAACAATCTTAAGTACATGGTACAACACATGTTACAGTATTTGTTATCATAGTAAAACGTAAGTTTTCAAACTGTCTGGATTTCACTTAGTCAGGTCATATAATAAGCCGCGCCACGACAAAACCAACATAATGGGTTGGCGACCAGCATGGATCCAGACCAGCCTGCGCATCCGCGCAGTCTCATCAGGATCCATGTTGTTCGGTTACAAACCCTATAACAAGTAGAGAAACTGATAGCGAACAGCATGGATCCTGATCAGACTGCGCGGATGCGCAGGCTTGTCTGGATCCATGCTGGTCGCAAACCCATTATGTTGATTTTGTCGTGGCGCGGCTCAAATGTTAACGATAAGTGAAGTGAAATTGGTAACTGCTAGCAGAATATGTGCCAGTCCTGGTAAATGTGGAATCGCTAAGATTCACCAAACTGATTTGGTTTGTTTTGATTTTACGTCACAAAGACATAGCATAGGCCATACGACTTCAAGTGCCTTTCCGTGCATTATTTCAGGCACGAACGGGCATCTGAGAAGAATCGCCGACGTTCTGAAAGCTAATTGGATAGCTTCCTCACATGAAAGAATTCAAAGTCCCTGTCGGGGTTCGCACCCTAAACGGTAAGGGGGAAGTGGTTTGAAGTCAACGACCTTAACCACTCGACCAGGGACGACCATTGGGGTAAAATAAGTACAGTTATGTCAAATATAGAATGCATTAACTTCTGGTGATAAGTTTTATAACTGAACGCAAGGTTAAGATCAGCCATTAAGCTTATTTTTTGCCGCAAATAACTTTTAAAATGAGCACATTAAAATAATTGTGATCAAACATATACAAGTAATGAGATAATCATTTTAGAAGCAATTTACCTGTTTTATTATATGGATCAGGAAATGAAAGCTCTGGGTTGTTTTCTGCTCTGTATCGTCTGTAATCCTCCTTATACTTAATGATGTTAAACCGAATTGTTTCATAATCAATTCCAAGTGAAGCAACATATTCTGGTACAAACAGATCCTCAATATTTTTTAAAGTAAGTTTAGAAGGGACAGGGTTATCTTTCACCTCAGAAGCCCATGTTAGCGCGTCTCCATTTGAAGGCGGGGCTGCTCCAACAGTTTTGGTGTGGGTCTCTACTCTCTCCGAGAACTCTTGTGCCGCTTGTCGCTGACTTGTTTCTAAACTAAACCCAGCACCAATACTTACCTTACCAGTAAAAGATGCACGAGCACTAGCACTATATCCAGACTCCTTAATAGATTGGTAGTCGCTTAAAGACATTTCATACTCATTGGAAAATCTGGCACCAAACGTGACCTCTGATAAAAAGTGTGTACCGAACCTGTCCATAAACTCAATGTATGTTGTATTAGAGTCAGATGCATCAAGTTTGCTCAGCCAAATAAGGAAATCATCATCAAATGATGGTGGCATTTGTTTGCGCAGCTTCACAAAGTAATAGTCACAAGTAGCCGAAGATATTATGTAAACGGACTTCTTTCTGTCCAATGTAGAGGTCATTTTTCTATATCCGAAACTAGAAGAAAACGCAAAAGCCTTATAACCTACACTAACTTCTGCCATTGTCGATAAAACATCTTGTAATTCGTTCTTAGTTTCCAGCACGGTTGAGGAAAACGAGGTAACACAGGAGACACTCGCAACTGCGATATATCCATTAGGTAAAGCAAATCTACAGTCTGCCGTTTGCTGCATATTAGAATAGTCAGATTTGAAAATAGGATGAGTAAACCCTGGGTCACGTGAATCTGCCAGCGGAAAGCCCCGATAAATGTCATATCCAAAGAAGGCATAATCAATGTTAGGGAACGACACTTTTGCCTCTATACCAGTGCAATCTCTTATCTTATGATCAATCATTATCCCTGAAAAACGAAGTCAAAGGTAAATCAGAATTAGTTTTGGATTGATAGTACCATTATATTCATTATAATTAAACGCACGTAAGTTTTTATAATAAAAGGTGAAATCTAATCATTTGCTATAAATTTGAACTATCTGTTGCTTCTTTTGGTTCGTTGGAAATTGGTGTAATAATAGTGAATACGTATTTTGTATGGAAGTCTTAGTACTATTTTGTTTATATTTTGCTACCTTTATGACACATTACTGCCAGTTCAGTGCTTCTGTTATCAGTTGTTAGACATCTATTATGCTTTAATTAAATCCACTATTACAAAATTACTTAACGCATGCATGCTTAATATTCAAGAGAATTGAGAAATATGGATTTCTGAGGCATAATGAATAAATACCTCTGCATGAAATAGATCTTAGGCATACCTAATTCTTTCTTTGTCAAGGAATATTCTTTTTTAAATTAAATTCGTTCCCTGAACCTTTTTTGTCAATGTGTTTATACAAACACGTTCAAAAATAAGTATTAGTTTTTGAATGTTAGAAGAGAGCGGAGAAAGAGTATCATGTTGAGTTAATACAACGACACGCGAGTGTGAAATAAAACTGAACATCAACATTATAGTTGATGGATTGATGCAATTTTATTCCGAAAATGTTTAAGTCATGATATTGTAATTAATTACAACGTCTTATAGTTATTTATTTCGAATCGTCGCTTAATGAATTATTTCGCTATCAACTGAGTTAAAACCCTGTGAAATGGACAGCTTATGACATGCAAATTGCAATGAACTAGATTCATTGGTTTGCGATGGTAAGTCTTCGCACTGCAGCATGTCAAAAGACCCCGGTCTTTGCGTCACAAATATTAACTTCAGATTGGAAACATTGTTAAGGCATGAACAAATCACTTGTACACCGGTCATACTGACATGTGTGAAACCACTCTAAGTATGATCGGAACGCACTTCTTTTTACATGGCGGCTAAAACAAGGAAGTGATAGGAAAAAACGCAAATGGGACCAGTTGAAAAATTAAACATTTTCCATACCCAGTTGGCAAAATAGCCATTACTTCATTTTTACTCAAAACATGCATCAAACACTTCTACTGACAATCCTTTAGTGGTTTTACAAACCCAGATTCGTTCAAAACGCGTGATAATATTTGATCGACTGTTATTTTAAAACCGAAAGTGACAGTAGTTTTGAATATTTGAACAAATAGTAACACAGTCGGACTATCAATTGCAATATTTAACTCTGGAAAACAGTGATCCCTTGGAAGCAATAAACGATTTTAATCACTTGAAAAGATATATTGTGTTTTATTAAATAAAATTGTCATCCTTTGAAATACATTTACTATGCTAAAATATTAACAACAGTACTAACAGTAAGGTGGACATACAACGCGATTTCAAACATGATATTTAAATTTTAAGAAATGAATCCACGCTGTTGTGTTTTTCAAGAACTTGATAAAATAGGAAAATATTTGAAATGTCGATAATATTTCCATTGTACATTAACATACATTGTTGTATGATACACTGATGTCCACAGATCTCGTCAGTTGCAAGGTTTATAGTCTTCCCTTTATTACATCGATTTAGTATATTATAATCTGTAGCATTAACGCCGACTAAGTAAATTTCAGCCTTTATATATATGTCAAAATAATGCCATATGCTAGCAAATGAATATCCACTTACTGAAGTTTCATCTGTAATATGCAAATAAGACAATAGTTTCATAGCAATGAAATGGACCGTATTTGTGTAATATAATAATACAGACCAAATTTCTAACCTACCTGTACCGAGCGGATCTGCCATCACTGTAGTGATCTGCCATCACTGGCGCCGGTAATACGGTGTGCTATAATAACGAGGTCATATAAGCTACGAAGGGCGGCCATTTGATATTTCATTTACTGTAGTTTATTCTGTGGCATATTTTGAAATCAGCACCGATATCAAAATTTAAAAAGTTGATGATTTGTGATATAAATATCGTATGCAAATAGTGTAAAGTGCATAAATTACAAGTAATCTTAATATTAAAGTGCGTCTTACCTTGATTGAAGAAAAACTTTTGCATATCTGACATATTCTCCATTTTGGTTTCCCCTTCATCTGGATCGGCTAGATAAGCAGCAGTTGGATCGTCATTTGCAGAATTACTTTGCGAACCATGAGCACTTCAAAAATAAATATTTTTTTTTTCAGAAAACAGCCGAGCGTTTTTGTAAAAACAGGCATGCTTAGTAGATGATTAAAACAAATGGTGAACATTCCCGAGTCTTAGTAGCGTAATTGCGATTGACTGTATCACTAAGGGGTTGAATTCTATATTAGTTTAAACATATTCATCTTAGCTAGGTTCCTGCACTAGGCCACCATTCTCCTTTTGTGATATGTCAGTATTGTTATGGTATAAGGTGTAGAGCCCGCTCATTCTAGTGAGGAACCAATACAAAGAATGTTTGATAGAAAAACAAGCATTTTTGCTTTTCCCTTTAAGTATATATGTGCCGCGTCACGACAAAACCAACGTAATGCGTTTGCGACCAGCATGGATCCAGACCAGCCTGTGCATCCGGATGCGCAGGCTGGTCTGGATCCATGCTGGTCGGAAACCCATTATGTTGGTTTTGTCGTGACGCGGCTCAAATATTGTTATTTGCTCCTAGCAGATTAAAAATGTCACGTGCTATCGGCTTCGTGAATATATCGATAACCAACCATGTGAACTCGTAGATTTTATTGGACATCAAATGGATCTGGTATTCTTTTGGTTAACTTACCTTAATGACTCCACCTTGTATGTAACATAGCATAGGAGACCCAGCTGAACTAACACAAATAAGGTGTAAACAAATAAAACTAGCCTGCGTCTCCTAATGTCAACCTTGAAAATCGTTCTTCTAGGCTTTCTTTCCTGTAACATAGATTCAATAGAGATGTTGTTATTTTAAAGAACAGACAATCTATTAAGATTTGTACAGTGTACATCATCTATAATACAATAATTTTTACAAGCACAGCGAAATGAGCAGTTATGATGTTTAAGGCTCAACATTTAACAGTGTGTTTCTTTAACAAATTTGGATAACTGAATTAATTCATATTTACTATTTGAGTTCAATAATTTATGAAAAAATAATATTAACCAAATTATTAAATGCATGCATGTAATATTGGGAAGTGTACTTGAATTGACGATGCCAACAGAAATTAATCAAAGGGCTGCAAGCTCGGTGGTATTTTCTGATCTTTGTAATCTAAATCGTCCTGTATATCTGTATATATTTTCCTGTACAAATGTATTAGTTTATTTTTATGTACTATAATTCATCTTGCAAGGCACCAGAGTTGATACATACGTTATTTGCATAACTAGAGTTGCATCAAAAAATCATTTATGACAGCCACACTTTATCCTTATATATAATGGTCCCTTATTTAACAAAGACACTTAAAAAAGAATTTGAAAAAAATTGCCTCGATTGGGATTTGAACTTCAGACCTCTCGAGCACAAAACAAGCACGTTACCCCTGCACCACGAAAAAGTTATACACACCTGGATAAAATCAAGTCATTCTAAATTTAGAACTTCCATTGCATTTCGGGTTTGTAATCCTTATAAGTTTTGAGGTATTTTGTTCAGGATAAACCTGTTGTTTAAAATTGAAATAGGTAATTTAGCGAAAATCTTCTCGCCAAAACTTATTTCACGGCGTCTCAACGCCGTGATATTGTGATGGGTAGTTTTCGGTAGCATGGGCAAAAGTCACGTGACAAATTTCCTTTCGATTTCTACAGCCGACATTTTATTGTTTTAACGTAATCATTGTACAGCCCATTTCCGTGAAAAGTTACATAGAAACAGTTTTTTTTCAAAACCATATAGAATCTAAACAGTATTTTTATCAACACACGAAATATCAGCGTTTTATATTAACACATTTCCGGACATCCTTTCGACATGCTTGAGAAATTCGCCTTGAATGGATTATGTATGGTGGCTGATTAACGCCATCCAAATATTTTCGCGTCTTCGCCTCAAAATGCGAAAATGCGAAAACACGAAGGGACGACATATTTTGACGAATGTGTTCTCATGTCGGATCTATGTCTCTCTCGGAGTGAATCTTTTCACGTGTAAAATGTCTTTGAACATTACATTCCTATGTTTCTATATTTGCAATTAAGAACTTAAATTGTCTTCTTTTTTTAGCTCACCAGCGCCGAAGGCTCAGGGTGAGCTATTAGTATCAAAGGGGGATACTCCGGCGTCCGTCGTCCGTCGTCATGCGTCAACAATCATCTTCTTCTCTGAAACTGCTGGGCAGATTTAACTAAAATTTGGTCTGTAGCATCCTTGTGATAGTCACACTTAAATTTGCTCATGTCATTTCAATTGGCCCCTTTTAGGGTTCAGCCGAGCTAAAAATAGAAAAACCTTTAAACATCTTCTACTACAGAACTAATGGATGGATGATCACCAAACTTTGTCTGTAGCATCCTTAGGTAGTCTTTTATCAAGTTTGCTCATATTAATTTGATTGGCACTAGGGCTATAAATGGAAAAACCTTTAGACAATTCTTCTACAGAACCAATTGATGGATGATCACCAAACTTTGTCTGTAGCATTCTTGGGTAGTCTTTTATCAAGTTTGCTCATATTAATTTGATTGGCCCCTTGTAGGGGCTGCTATAGCTAAAAATAGAAATACCTTTAAACGTCTTCTTCTACAGAACTAATTGATGGATGATCACCAAACTTTGTCTGTAGCATCCTTAGGTAGTCTTTTATCAAGTTTGCTCATATTAATTTGATTGGCCCCTTTTAGGGGTCACTATGGCTTAAAATAGAAAACCTTTAGACATTTTCTTCTACAGAACCAATTGATGGATGATCACCAAACTTTGTAGCATTCTTGGGTAGTCTTTAATCAAGTTTGCTCATATTAGTTTGATTGGTCCTGTTAAAGCTAAAGCTTAAATGCACTAGCGTTTCTTTAAATTAAAGTTTAAAGATATTCTAAGCTCTAATTTTAATATAAAAAAAATATTGACAATGGATACACAGTCTCCTTATAAGTATAAATATGAAATATACGTGTTTTGACTTCACACAAAGTAGATATGTTATGTTTTAAACTCTTAACACTATTCGTGGTCACAGTATAAATATAATGATAGTGTCATTACAAAAACTTTTTTTTTCTTTTTTTTTATTATAGAAAAGACCATCTTTACATTGCCTGTAATAGCATATGCAGTTTCCTGTACATAGTATATTCATTCTTTTATCCAAATAAGACATTTTCAGCAAGAATTTCATAAATTTCATTGGCTTGGGTCATGACCTGTTTATGATGTGTAAATATATTTCAGCTCTGGAATTCGGACTACTGCATCATTGTAAGGTCAGTTGTAGGTCATTAACCAGGAAAAAAATAGGCCTAAAGAAACATAAAATTTGTTTCTCCTGTACTTTACTATCAAAGATGAGTTTATCTGCTCAATTCTCTTATTAAATTTTGTAAAAAATTGTAATTTTTTCATTTTTTGTTGTTGAATTAACAAGGGACAAGGGGTTTAATTTCTGTTTCTGAATTGAATTTTGATATGAACTGGCTTACTTTTGATATATTTGATATCGCTTTACCTACTTTTTTTGTCTTTTATGTACAGACTTGAACTTTGGACTATGGGTGTAATTTGTGTAATTTTTGATGTTGAATTCAATTTTGATACCAGTTGACCTACTGTCTTGTATTTTGACATTCAGATTTTAAATGTTGACCAGGTTTGTAAATTCTGATGTCGAAATGAATTTTGATATCAACTGACCTACTTTTGATATTTTTGATATAATTTGACTTTCATTCTTGTGTTCTTGACATACAGACTTGAAATTTGGACTAGGGGTGTAATTTCTGATGCTGAATTGAATTTTGATATTAACTGGCCTACTTTTAATATTTTTTACAATGTTTGACCTATTGTCTTTTTTTGAGGTACAGTTATGTTACCATACAGAATGTATAAAAAAAATTTGTCCCAAACTGTGAACTTCAAACAACTACACCTTACATGTTTTGCATGTGACATTTTGTGTTTTCATTCAAAAAAAGTTTTTAGAAATTGTCCAATCAAAATTAATCCTGCTCTAGTGGTCAGTTGTTCTGCATTTATTCTACATAGTCTCATAGGAACACACTTGCAACATACATATTTTAACAAATCCTTTCCAAAATATAAGGGCAAAATATTACAATTTTTATAGTGAATAATGAAATGATGGGTTAGATGAGTCATCTAGGGCCATCTTAGTGGTCATATTGTTTATTATGAAGAAAAAAGCTAAAACAATCAGTGTTGTGAAAGTATATTACTAAAGGGGCAAGTTTAAGTTGATCGAGCTGAACTGCCGAAAGAGCTGGACTTGCCTTTCAGCAAGTTCTTTTGAAAATTAATTTCCAACACTGAAAAACAGTTGTTTCTGGTGAGCGACTCAGGGCCATCATGGCCCTCTTGTTTAATAATTTCATTTTTCTTGCGCAATTCTCTAAAATGAGACTTGGTTTTTCTATATGCGTTTCACAATTAACATTAACCATACCAGGTTGTAAAATAACTTAATTTGGTCCTTAAATCAGTTTTTACCACAACATCAAACTTCATTCAGAAGTTACCCCCCGCCGAAAAGACGGCTATAGAATTAGTCTCCATCCGTCCGTCTGTCCTTCCGTCCGTCACTCTACATTTTTGTCCGGAGCATATCTCAAAAAGTATCAATTTGAAACTTCATAGGTGGACTGGAGGTATCAACTTGAAACTTCATTTGTGGATAAATCATATTTAGGAAAAGTGCAGTGCACAAGAATGATAACTCTACGCTGCATATTTATTTCATTGTTGCCCTTTGTTATTCTTCAAACTCAATTTTTGTCCACAGCAAAAAGCCTTTGAGATATCAACATGAAACTTCATGTGGATAGATCTCACTCAGGAGGTGTGCAATGCAAGAGTGATAACTGTACCATTTCTAAATTTTGAGTTATTGCTCTTTGTTATTTTTCATACTTAATTTTTCACCCGAGTGGAGCATAAATTAACTAAAAAACAAACTTTGAGATGTCAATGCAATCTTCATAGGTAGATAGATCTTTTTGAGGATGAATGTTGTGCGAAAGAATGATAACTCTAACCTTTATAATTTTTGAGTTATTGACACAAAAAGTGGTAGAGGTAACAACTTGAAACTTCATAGGTGGATAGCTCTTTTTGATGAGAAGTGCAGCACACTAGAATGATAACTAACCGTGCATTATTTTTCAGTTATTGCCCTTTGTTATTTTTCATACTTAATTTTGTCCAGGGTATAACTACAAAAGCCTTTGAGATATCTACATGAACCTTCAAAGGTGGACAGATCTTACTCAGCAGATATGAAGTGCAAAAGAGTGATAACTCTACCTTTCATAATTTTTAGTTATTGCCCTTTGTTATTTTTCATACTTAATTTTGTCAATAGCATAACTACAAAGGCCTTTGAGATATCAACATGAACCTTCATAGGTGGATAAATCTCACTCGAGAGGTATGCAGTACATAAGAATGATAATTATTCTGCTCTCCTACATATAAACATGGCTCTTGTAACAAGTTACATGATTATGATATTTTAAAACCTTCTGAACAAGTTAACATGTCAATTCAAAACAATGCTATTTGGAGATACCTTATCAATATATTTAACTGGGTTTTTTTTCGTTGTTTTTTTTTGTGTGGGGGTTGGTTTTTTTGTTGTTGTTGTTTTTCGCCGTGACAATCATATTGCTGCATTTCCCAGCAATTTTTTACTTGTTTGTGTAGTATTCGGTAATCGACATCGCTAAAAATAGCATTTCCATTGATAAAAATC